AGGGGATCTATTGCCTGACACAAATCACCATAGTCAACAGGGGAGACTGCTGTGGTAAGACTTCAAAAATCAATCTATTTGTTTTGTCCTAAGATTTCCATTCTAAATTGTAGAATTTTAGATGTCTGACAAAATGCCCGAAATTAATTTCGCTTTAATAATTCCAGATTCATAATAAAGGTAAATATCTGTAAACCTCTGTGATACAGTGGAGAACTGAAGGCAGAAGATGAGTGCCTTGATTTTAGTCAAGCGCGTGTTAATCAAGTGAGACCAGATCAGATTTCCTTAAGTAACTTGGCTCCAATTCCATCAGTTAACATTTCTAATACGTTTTTTTTCCTTTAAACGAATTTCATTAACTCAGCAGATGGATTCCAAATTTTTCCTGTGGTTCGATCTCAATGGGGACGGTACCATATTTACCTGGGAGAGTGGGCATTTGACGTTTTTCTGTTGTTCGCAATTTAATAATACGAGGAGGCAATCTGGGAGATAAAGGCGCACTGAGGCTTCTTGGTTCTCTTAACTGTGTCAGTTCAAACGCCCCTCGTTGGCACTTTATCTGGTCCTGTCACTGTCAAACTACCATAGCGGCACCTAGGCCGTTTCCCATACTCCACTTCGGCTCCGTCTCAGGCTTCAACTGTTTTTTTTACAAGCTGACTTTGAAGCTGTAAGCGTAGTAATATAGTGTAATAAAATAGTATAATAGTGCCACAGGACATGAAATAAGATGCAAGAAAGCCAAAAATTATAGTAATCCAATGTAATTCAAGCGCTTCAGGCCCACAATTGGAGATTGGTTTTAGGATCGAAGCCTGAGACGGAGACGAAATTGAGAATTGGAAAACGGCCTTAGGCACTCCTGGGTCACATGTAGCGCGCGCAAACCGGCTTGCTAGACTGTTTAAAGGGCGCGCAAGCGATGTTCAGTTGTCTTGAGTCCTGCTCGAGGGATGATCCTGAGGTAAGGGTCGAGAATCCCGTGCAAGGGTTAAAGTTACCTAGCCTAGTGTGACTGTGCCTAAGTTCCGAGTGGTGCGTGTGTCGTTGAGGGGCTCGGTAGGTTGAGGGGCTAATTGGTGGTGCGGTATAGTTCCTGATAGGAGCTTGCGGTCGATGCAAGGCTAGATTGCTATCTCGTGACGCGAGTTGTGTGCAGTGCGACCCTGACAATGGCAAAGCTGCTCAAGTCCCTGATTTGGCACTGGATTCCTACAGTTAATTGTGGTGTTCAGGCGAAGTCCAGTCTTATAATCACACAGTCTGCCGGTCAATGGCGCCCTCTACTGGTGTATTGGTTTGTATGAGACTGCGCGTCGACGATTCACTATAATGCGCCGCCAAGAGTTTGCAACACGTTGGATAATCACAACGCGCAAATTTTGTCGACCCTTTCCCAACGCGCATTGGGTCGAAAATTTCGCGCTTTGTGATTGGCCAACGCGTTACAAACTCTTGGTGGTGCAATATTGTGAAACGGCCGTATTGGAGGAACACTAAAGTTGCGCGTTAACTTCCGGTTCCATGTAACTCTATGCACAGTGGGGCCGCAGGGGTGGTGTTTAAAGTGAAGCAAAATAACACTTAGAACAGGTTAGGGACGATTTAACTATGAAAACATATAATGTAACACATGATTAAACTGTCTTGTATCCAGTTGCCAGAGCTTTTTTTTTAAGCAGCGTGCATTATCAAATCTCAGTGGGGATTATCAAATGATAATGCAAGGTCACGTGTTAAAGTTTTTACTTAACAGCAGTTGTAAATGCAAGTTCCAGGGCGTACGTAACTTAAGACGTAAATAAATACGTGCTTCATGAATGAAAATCCCCACGTACTTATTTTCAGTGTGACCCGTCTGTAGCCCCGATGCGTGATAACCCGTATGTTACACACACATACGCGTTCTACATAATTTATGGCTTAAACACGACATACAGCCCGTAAGTTTTTCTGTGAATTTTGCTCCCGACTTACTGTTGTAACTTAAGACACTTTTTATTTGTGGTATCATGCTGAAATTTCACACATGCAGGGGTTAGACTGGCAGGTGCCATTGTACGGGCTGGTGTGAATTCGGATCAGTCACAAAACACACAGATAGGAGATCCTGTCACATCGACTCAAGCTACCAATGGAGCAGTGATTGATTTCATGGCTAACCCAACTGTATCTGCTCGATATGTTAGCGTGGAATTGTCTTGGAACTGCCTTCAACTGGCTGAAGTAATGGTTACAACTGAGACGACGGGTGAGTTTTGTTTTACTTGCACTTGTGATCTTTAACAAATCTTTCAAACTGGAGGCCAGAGTTGGTTTCCAGTAAGTTTCAGTCCAAGAACAAAGGATTGTGCACCTTTTCATTAAAAAATGAAACCTTGGCACTGAAGTTTAAATTAACGTAAACAATCAGGAACTTCGATATGGAGCTAACTTACGCCTTTTGAAGGGAGCGGCAGCCATTTTTATACGACCTCATCATGCCCACCGTGCTATTGGATAATTTTCATGATAACCACTTTTTTTCTTAACCACGGAATTTCTAACAGGCATAGAGGTTAAAACCTTCAAATGTGAAACATTTTTAAATTCATCCGTTTGTAGCCATTTTTCTAACAGGTGGAACTTCCAAAATTTACAGTATCCTTTGTGAACTTGCCTTGTAGGGGCAGCCATTTAAACAATGATCGCTTCTCGAGCCACCATGGCACCTTACAAAGGCATGAAACTTTCACAAATATGTACATATGCATTACACCGATTAAGGGGGGGGGGGTAAGGAACCATCCCAAACCTTTTCTTTTGAGGTTGGACTGAAAACTTTTTAAAAAAGGAGAACTATGTTGGAACAAACACTCCGTCAATTAAGGCTCACACCAAACCTTTAAGTCTTAAAACTTGGGCAATGGCTCTATATGAAATGACTGCTAAATTGAAAATATTCACAACCTCACAAAATAGTGGTGATGCGAAAACATGAAATTTTCCGTTTAATTCTGGTTTGCTGCTCGTTTGTGGTTTACCTATAAGAACATCACACAGGTTCGGAGATGCATTTTCAGCAATAATTTACTGCAATGGAATTGCCACAACAATTGGAACCATAGGACGGTTCAAATTATCTCCTCCCAACGGTCCCAGACTGCAGGGATTTTACATACTTCTCAATTAGACTGATTTCAAGACATTTCAAAGCACTTAAAACTATTTACTTCGGGTTTCTAATACTTATAAGGAAGTCATTAACAACTTAAATTCAATATTTAGGAACTTTCAAACACTTCATTGATATTTTCAAAGATTCGTTCCAAGAGACCAGAAAAGAATTTATCAATACCAACAAAAACACTTTGTAATACTTGTGCAGAATATGAGAATACAGTGGTTTGTTAGTTACACACCACGCAACAACATTTATCAAAAACAAAATTATTGTCATTCCCGTCATTCAAGGTCAATGTCATTTGACATTGTGAACACGTACTGGTCATTATTTCCTGCAACAGGAAAAGTAATAAATAATAATAACTTTGATTTTAGGCAGTACCATCGACATTACTGGAAAACCAACCAGTCAGAGCAGTACTTACCTTGATTGGTCAGCGAACAGAGCAGTTGATGGAAATCCCGACACAGCTTCCCACACAGGTGATAAAGTTTCTAAATGTTTCAGTGTGCTTCATTTGTGATACTAAGGGTATATTTTGAATACACTTAATAATATCAGTTTTTATTCTAGTTACCATTTCCACTTTATTAGCTTAAAATAAAATTCGACTTTTGAGTATGAAATTACGTTGCAAATGTGAATTTGCAAGCTCAATGTCAGGTGCAATCGTTACATAACGTTTACTTTCTTCACTTTTCTTTTCTTCAACTTTTCACAGAATGCCCCAGTGTTCAGTGGTGGAAGATTGACCTGCAGGAGATCTACTCCTTGACCAAAATTACTATTGTCAACAGGAGGGATTGTTGTGGTAAGATTTCCACCATAATGATCATGTTATTTATCTCATCACTGCACAAGATGTCTTTCTATGCTCCATTTTTTATGAAAAGTAAAAAAAATCTCATGATAAAATACGAATCTATGAATAATAATAAATGAGTCAAAGAGGCATTGCATTCCTTACTGTACAATGAGCATTCAAATAATGCAAAGAATCTAATGGAATCAAATCAGGTGAAGAACTAGTATATAAATATAGACTGCAAGGAGTGAGGGTCGAAAACATGTACCTTGATTTAGTTTAGAGTGCAATAAGTAACATAATAGTTTTAATCTTCCCACATCTTATTACTTGCAATAATACCTGATAGATTGTAATTCTGAAACATTCGAATTACAACCTCAGGGTGTTGGGTCCAGCAATTACAAGAAAGGAGACATGAAGCCCGATCATCATAGATTCATATTATGATGAAACCCGTAAATATCCACTTTCCCTAAGAATATCAGATTTATAAATGTTTTAATGCGACATATGCTAGGAGAGAGACTGGCAGGTGCCATAGTGCGAGCTGGAGTGAATTCAGCTCACACTCAAAATACGCAGATTGGAGGTAATGTCACATCAAGTCAAGCTTCTAACGGAGCAATGATTGATTTCCTCGCCAACCCGAACGTGTCCGCTCAGTACGTTAGTGTGGAATTGTATGGGTCTCAGTGCCTTCAACTGGCTGAAGTAATCATTGCTACTGAGACAACCGGTAAGTTTTTACTATCCCTTGTAATCCTCGAAAAATCTTACAAGACGGGAGTCATAGTTGATCTCGAGGCACCTCATGTAGTAAGAACAACATGTGGCAAGAATTGGATAGTTATTCTAGAAACCTTACACTCGTGTATAATTTACATTTCTTAGATGTGGAGTCATCACAAACTAACCTTTGAAGGTGGTGCATGGCAGCTTTTTTAAGGGATTTCATTTTGCCAACCGTGGCAAATGCATAACCATAGTTGCTATTTTTCAATAAAGGATGGATTTTCTCACAAGCATAATTACAGACACCTGTAGAAAATGTATTTTATTGTTCTTACTTGTTAAATGTTAGGGCCTTGACGTCATGAATTTAGTTATTTTATGACATGCATTTTAAGCTGGAAAGAAAGTATTTCATAAAGTTTGCATTAATCATGAAACGTTTTTAAAGCTTGTGTCATTTTTTTAAAATATAATCTTTGGTAGTTATAGACATTAAGACAAAATCTATGGCCTGGATTTCCTGAATTTCAATGGCTACCACAAATGGAAACAGAAAACAGCTCAAATTATCTTATGCTTACTGGTCCTGGACATTGCTGCGCCTTTACGCAAATGTCAACCAGACTGATTTCAAGGCATCTCAAGTAGGTTTATTTGAGATTTATATAAAGCTTATGAGGAATGAGGAAGTGATTAACTTGGCTTTGGTATAGGACCTTTTGAATGCTTTTTGGTATATCGAAAATGTTTCAATACATTTCAAAAGACCTAATTCATACAATATACATATTACTTATTCAAAACATGACAAAACTTGGTTCATTAATAATTGTGTAACAACGCTAAAAGCACACCGTACAACATTATATATCTAAAGAACTTAAGTTTTGCCCCTTTAATCATGGAATTTATTTCTTTTGACCTACTGTTTTATTAATCATTAGTTCCTGCACTGAGAAAACAAATACCTACTACTTTGATTTTAGGCAGTACCATCGATCTTACTGGCAAACCAGTAAGTCAGAGCAGTACTTACCTTAATTGGTCAGCGAACAGAGCAGTTGACGGAGATCTCGGCACAGCTTCCCACACAGGTGATAAAGTTTCTATATAGTTCAGAGTATTTAATTTGTGATACTAAGGGTTTATTTTGAATATCAAGTTTTATTTGGGCTCAAATTACCATAAGCAAAAAAAAATTCATGTTTCAAGTATGATATTATGTTGCGAATTTGAATTTGCAAGCTGAACGACCAGTGCAATCGGAAAATGAAGTGCACTTTCTTCCAAATGCAACTTTTCACAGAATGCCCCAGTGTTCAGTGGTGGAAGGTTGACCTCCAAGCGATGTACTGTTTAACGAAAATTACTATTGTCAACCGGAGGGATTGCTGTGGTAAGATTTCCAGAGTAATGGTTATGTTACTTATCTTATCGATGCAGTGGACTTTAGACTCCTTTCCTTTTGTGAAAACTTAAAATTTTATTGGTATGAAATATGTAATTTAATATGTATCTATAAATAATAATAATAAATGAGTCAACAAGGCATTGTGTTCCTTGCTGTGTACCGTTTACTTTAATCATGCAATTAATGTATACGAAGAAACTAAACCGAATCAAATCGATTATCAAAGATTCGAGTTATACTGAAACCTGCAAATTCACTTTACATCAAGAATGTCGGATTTCTAAATGTTTAAATACTAGGGGAAAGACTGGAAGGTGCCATAGTGCGGGCTGGTGTGAACTCAGATCAATCACAAAACACACAGATAGGAGATCCTGTTACATCGACTCAAGCTACCGATGGAGCAGTGATTGATTTCATAGCCAACCTGAATGTGTCTGCTCGATATATTAGTGTAGAGGTGCCTGGGTCTAAGTGCCTTCAA